TGATTTTATTGGTTCAGAGGCTAATACGATTCAAGAACAGAAGGGGTCAGATTGCAGAATATTACAACAGTCGTCGGCAGTAGTGTCGGAGTGTGTGGCACCTGATGCGTTTTCATCTCCAAAGTTAGGAAGAGTTCGCAGAAAGAATAGAAGAGGTTTAATTTATCAAGCCTTGGAGTTGGTTAATATTCACACTGCCTACTCTCCTCTTTTTTCTAAGCTGGTGGAGGAAGCTATGGCCACTTGGGAAGTATGTCTGATGTTAGGCATCTCTTTCAAGGATGGGAAGGAGAAATTTATTGAAAAGATTATTTGCCATGAGAATGGTTCGAAGGTTGTAAAGGATGATGGATATGATGGTTAGGTTTTGCGGTTGGATGGGTATGGTTGGGGCTTTTGGGAGTGATACATTTTTATGCAGAATTTAAGAATTCTTTCGTGGAACATTAAAGGTTTAGGGAGGAGGGAGAAGATCGCTTCTGTCGCTAGGCTTGTAAAGAAGGTCAAACCAGTTCTGGTGTTTATTCAAGAATCCAAGCTAGAACATTGTAAGGAGTCTATTCTAAGGAGGTTAGGAGGGAGTTTGTTAAAGGGAGTGAAGTTGTCTCCAGCACAGGGGTCTAAGGGTGGTTTGATTAGTATATGGAATGAGAATATGTTCAAAGTCACCAATCAACATGTCCACATCAGGTTTTTGGCATTGGTGGGGTATTTTTTGAATGATCAAAAGGAGTTCGTATTTATTAATGTATACGGCCCGGCTATTGAAGACGAAAAGGAGAATTTTTTTGAGGAGTTGTTGTGTTTTGTAGTTTCGTTGAATTTACCAGTTTGTATAGGGGGGATTTTAATGCGTATATTGATCCGGAAGAAAAGCTAGGGAAAGCTCAGAACTGGCATACTTTAAATATTTTTAGAACATTTGTGCAGAGAGCTAAGCTCATTGATCTGCCCATGTCAGGAGGGTCTTTTACATGGAGTAGTTATAGAGAAGATTCAACATGGGTTAGGCTTGATCGGTTCTTGTTAAGTGACAGTTTTCTTAACTGTTTTCCTAAGATTTCACAGAGACTTCTTTCGATCTCTATGTCTGATCACAAACCGATTTTGTTGGAAGATGTTTGTATAAATTGGGGCCCAAAACCTTTTAAATTCTTCAATGATCTTTTACAGGAGCAAGGCTTTGATGATTTTGTGGTTAATCTTGTGGCAGTTGAGAAGAATAAGAGGAATTTTGGGGGAATTTTCATAACGCTAAAAACCATATTAGAAGTTGGCCTGGAATCAACAATGTTGGGCTGTCAGAATCTATTTCGGTTCTTGAAGGGAAGATAGAGAATTGGGAAAGGAATTCGCAAGGTGGAATCTTGTCCAAAGGGGAGTGGGATCAGATGGTAGAATGTAAAAAGGAGTTACGGAGGCTGTTAAGGACTGAGGAGAGCATCTGGTGTCAAAAGTCCATGAGTAGGTGGATTAAGGATGGGGACAGAAATACGAGGTTCTTTCACTTGAGTGCTTTGATTAGGAACATGATCAACACTATTCTTTCATTGAAAATTAAGGGAGAATTTATCTCGGACTCAGGAAAAATTAGAAGCAATGTGTTCAATTTCTTCAAGACGACTTACAACACTAATTCAGTAATGGAGGTTGAGGGCCTAAATATGGATTTTGTACAACTTTCTGTAATTCAGAGTGCATCTTTGGAGGTGGAATTCTCTGAGCAAGAAGTGTGGCAAGTAATCTCTTCTTCGGATAGTGCAAAAGCCCCTGGTCCGGATGGTTTTACCATGGGTTTTTATAAGAAATATTGGGAAAATCTTAAGGAGAAGATCATGGAGTTTTTCTCTGATTTCTATCAAGGTAAGTCATGGGAGCATGGAGTCAATCATGCATTTATAACCTTGATTCTTAAGAAAGGTACTCCCGAGAGCATTGAAGATTATAGACCCATTAGTCTTGTGGGCAGCTTGTACAAAATCCTCTCAAAAGTTCAATGAAAAAGACTTATTTCTTGTATCAAGGATATCATCAGTCCGTCTCAGTTCGCTTTTATTCCGGGTAGACAGTTGTTGGACTGTGCATTTTTAGCTAATGAAGGAATTGATTATTGGATGAAGCAAGGACTTAAAGGGGTTGTTTTCAAAGTGGATTTCAGTAGAGCTTACGATACAGTTGAATGGCAAATTCTTTAAAGGCTTATAAGGAGATGGGGTTTGGAGAGAGGTGGTGTTCTTGGATCTCACAATGTATCTCTACAGCTTCTATTTCGGTTCTAGTGAATGGGTCTCCTACTAAGGAGTTTCCTATTGCTAAAGGCTTGAGGCAAGGGTGTAGCCTTTCTCCTCTTTTGTTCAATTTGGTCGGGGAATTACTTCATAGGATGTTGACTAAAGCAGTGGATTCGGGTCTGTTCGAAGGTTTCTCCTTTGGTAAAAATCAAAATTCATTCTCTTTGTCCCATCTTCAGTTTGCAGATGACTTAATTATTTTTTGCCGAGCATCAATTACGCAGATTAAGAATGTTAGAAGAGTTTTGAGGATTTTCAGCTTAATGAAGGGGCTCCATCTAAACTTAGCCAGAAGTAAACTTTTCGGAATTAATGTGGAGAGTGACATCCTTGAAGATTGGGCTAAGGAGATTGGTTGTTCTATTGGCTCATTTCCCACGGAATACTTAGGCCTTCCTTTGGGGGCGAAAACGAATTCGGAGAAGTTATGGGATCCGGTTATTCTCAACTTTAATAAGAAATTGGCGGGTTGGAAAATTACTACTTTATATATGGCTGGTAGATTGGTATTAATAAAGTCGGTGTTGTCATCCTTACTTATTTTTTACCTTTCTATTTTTAAGATGCCTTCTTCTATTTGTCAGAGGTTAAATTCATTGATGTCGGATTTTTATGGGGGAGTAGGGGCGACAAAAAGAGAATGCACTGGGTGCGCTGGGACTATGTATGTAAGCCGTTGAGTGGAGGAGGATTGGGAGTGGTGGATTTGAAGGTTACAAATAGTGCGTTGTTGGGCAAGTGGGTTTGGAAGTTTGCCAATGACAAGAATTCGATGTGGAAGAAACTATTATGCAGCAAACACAATGTGAGCTGCCAATCCATGGATATTAATAGAGCTTGCTTTCGTAAAGACTCTTGGATATGGAGGGGAATTGTGAATAACTATTTAAAGGAGGACGTCATTGGAGGTTGCCTTAGATCTCATGCTAAGCTTCAAATAGATAATGGTAAATCTATTTCTTTTTGGAGTGATACGTGGATAGGGGATTTCCCTTTAAAACTTCGGTTTCCTAGAATATATGTCATTTCTTCAAATAAAATGGGTAAGGTAGCTGATTTTGGGAGTTTCGATTCGTCTGGATGGGTTTGGAATATCAAGACTAGGAGGAACCTTTTTGATTGGGAGGTTGAGCAGTTCGTTGAGTTGTTGGACACCCTAAAAAATATTAAACCTATGGAGCCTTTAGAAGACTGTTTGTTGTGGGTTGGTTCGGGTGATGGGCAGTTTTCTGTTAAAGCGTGCAGGAATGCTCTGTCTGTTCCTCTTAAGGACTCAGTTCAGTGGGAAAAAGTCGTCTGGCTGGGTTTAGTTCCTCCTCGAGTGGAGAATTTCCTTTGGCAATTGTCACATCAAAAAGTAGCTGTGAGAGTGGAGTTGTTGAAAAGGGGGTTGATTTAGGGGAGAACATTCTCTGCCCGTTTTGTAATCAAGGGGCTGAATCTATTCAGCATCTTTTTATTCATTGTCCTGTATCCTGGGAACTATGGATGAAAATTATTGGGTATTGGGGTATTCGGCTTGCTCTGCCGCAAGACCCTCCTAATTTACTCAGTTCATGGGCCGAATTGAGGCCATATTCTGCTATATGGAAGTTTATTCCAGAGGCAGTTTTTTGGTCCATTTGAAAGTTAAGAAATGAGATCATCTTCGACAAAGGAAAGTTGGACAGTATCTCTTTGTTTTTCACGGTTCGATTCAGAGTAGCTAAGTGGTTTGTAGCCAAGTATCCATTGTTTTCAACTCATGTTGATTTCTTAATTGGGGACCCCTCTGTGGCTGACAACCTTTCAGACTCTAAGGTTTTGGACAATAGTGTGGTCTGCTGGATTCCTCCTCAACTGGATTTCTTTAAAATGAATGTGGACGGGACGGTGAGTGGTGTGGGGATGATGGCAGGTATTGGGGGAATTCTAAGGGACTGGAATCGGGTTGTTCTGTCTTCATTTTCAGTAAATGCAGGTCCTAACACTCCTATCCTAGCAGAATTGAAGGCTATCAAGAAAGGCATTGACATCTTTGTTTCATTTGTTTGGGCTTTGAAGGGCAGGCTCATTATTGAAAGTGATTCAAAGACAGCAGTGGATTGGATTAAAGATCAGAGTTCAGTCCCTATTTACTTGTCTAATTTTATGAAGGAGATTGTGTCTGCTGTTTCTGGAAATCAGTTCATTATCAGGTGGATTCCTAGGTGTTGTAATTGTGAGGCGGACAAGCTAGCGAAGGAGGGGATTGGCTAATTGTACTGCTTTTAGTTGGGTTGTATGTCTTTGAGGGGAGGTCTTGCAGGAGTGTATCAAGTCTTATGTATTTTTGTAGGAAAGTTGTTAAATTTTATGTAATTGTATTATCATTAATAAAATGATGTACTCTTTTCCTCCTTCCACTAGAGGGTCCTTGTCTTAGGGCAATAGACTTCTTAGAGGGAGGTTTTTAATGAGGCATCCTATTCCTATAAAAAAAAACCTTATTTGATTCATTAGATATGAACTTTCATCAAACTGTAAATCATAAAATCGTTACCATTTCCATGGTGAATTAGGTGATATGAAGACCAAAGGAAGATATTACACATTAATAGTAGAATGTTAAAATGGAAATGAACCATGTCTGAATAAAAAAGAGCAGTTAAGTAATATCAGGCGGCATTAACTGACAACGTAAAGATTCTGAATGATAACATAAAAGTTTTGTATTTTTAAAAGGAACTGAAGGTTATCTAGCTCATACTTATCTGTGTCTTAATGAGTCTACCATTACAGCTCACTAGAATGCCTTACATTTAATTGCTTTCAGTCACAACAAAACTACAGCTTTATAGGAAGTAGATTTTCAAAGATATTATACCAAATAAAATAGGACACATATAAATCATTATTGGAAAGTAACATCGGAATGCTAAGATATTATTTTGACAAGCATTATTAAGTAAATGAGTAGTGACTTTATTAATCCTTGCATCCCTCGCATTGCACCATGAGGTCATCCGGGTTATATGGCATCTCACACTTGCAATACCTTCAAAACCGAAATCCTGAAGAATTAATAAACAATCTCTAAAAGCATAGCACAAGGCACTGGGAAAAATCTCAACCCAAAAAACACAAGTTAAAGCAAATCATAACCAAGAGTAATCTATTCACCAGGTCAACTCAAACAACCACTACCAGAAACATCAGATGAAACGGTTAACAATAGAATTCAACATTCCAGATTCACCTAAAATGGAACCTTTAAAATCCAATAAAAAAGGGGAAAGCTAACGAAGAACTCACCTCTCCAAATCTCGACCCGTAAGCCTCCTTGTTCCCACAGAAAACCCAAGTATCACACAAGCAAGGGCCATCATTTCCAGTACACATGGCCTTACAAGCCTGACAATATTTCACGGAAGAATTAAACTTGAAGTCAGACCCCCGCTTCAAAGCTGCACCCCACAGCTCCAAATTCTCAATGCCTCTGCAACACTCACCATTCTTTTCCCCCACATCAATACTGCCCGTCGATCCCGAAGGCTCAAAGGTGGCATCATCAGAATTTACGGTGGGATTCAATAGTGTAGAAACGACTGCATAGACCAGAAGACAGGAGAAGAGAGCCACCAAGAGGAGGACGAGAGAGGCAAAACGGGAGTGTTCCGAGTCTATAGCTAAGCAATCTAATTCAGGTAGAACAGACGGTTACAACCCTAAAACCTAAAATAGTAAGGAAAGAAAAAAGCTTAGGCAAGAATTAACCCTAGCGAAACTAGGAAGTTCAGTGGAGAAGTTATAAAGTTGAAGAATGCGTGCCTTTAACTGCTTGAGAATGATGTCCTTGGCGGATGGAGGAGATTCCAACTTGGATCCTAGCTCCTTGAGCTACTCTTCCAGCTTCTCCGCCTTTTGCTATTAGCAATTTCTGCTCGCAAGGCAAAGCAAAGCAAAGCAGCAGCAGCAGCTTCGTCTCCTGCTCACTCTCGCTTTGTAGCTCTCCGTATCGGTTGAATAGTAGCGAACTCGATAAGATGGAGATAGGAAACAAAAAGGGGAAAAGTTGGGCTTTGGTTTTTTATGGCACTTGCTCTCGCCCCGCCTCTGGGTTTCAGGGATTCGAAGTTCCATGCCTCAAATCAAATGAGCTCTAAATGCAACTTAAATTCCCCTCCAAATGTTGATTTCAGCTTTTTTACTTGTAATTTACATAAGATGTTTCTTTTTCATTAAAAATTGGCACGTGGACTTCAACTAGGACTTATCACATAATACTACTATATTTTACTATTATGAATGAGCATAGTTTTCAGGACCGGATCGGTTAGTGAATCAGTCATGTTATCGGTTTACTGATTCAATCGATTGAATCGGTCTGATCGGTCGGAAGAATCAGACAACGTCATAATTATTTAAAAAATTAAATAAAAATATTTAATAAAAAATAATTTTTTATATCACAAGTCATATTCAAAGCAAGTCATAACATATATAAGTTAAAAACCATAAAATCAAGTGAAACAAAATAATTCAAATTAACTACAACATAATATTTAAGGTAAAACATATTAAATAATAAATATAATTATATAACTATAATTAAAAAATAAATTTGGGGTTAAAAAAATCATAACAAAATGATATTGTTTGGTTTAATTTTTTTAAAAAACAATCTCACATGGCTAAGAAACATAGAAGAGCATCCCAAAAGTCTAAAGAGTAAAAACATGAGAACAAAACAATCTCACATTGCTAAGAAACATAGAAGTGCATCACAACTAACTTCTATAAATAATAGAGGTAATTTGACATTCAAAATCATGGAGCCTTTTGGTGAGCATTGAGTGAACTATTCTTTCACTTCAATAAAGCTTGAATTTTAGGCTTCAATCGAGTTTCTAAATTTTTTTTGAGTTCAAGCATTTTTGAGTTTAAGTTTCAATATTATATTTCGAGTTCGAGTTGAACTTGATAATTTTTAGCTTGTGAGTTTGAGTTGAGTTGAGCTTACTTTTAAAGTTTTCAAGTTCGAGTCGAGCTCAGCAATACTCGAGTTTGACTGGTTCATTTAACAAACGACGTTGTTTGGTTTAATTTTTTTTAAAAAAAAAATTCCGATTTTTCTCGGTTTTTTCGGGTTTTTTTCGGTTTTCAACCGGTCCGGTTCGAACGGTTCAGTGGTTCTGGCCGGTTCACTAATAACGGTTCAACCGGTTTAAATTGAACCGAACTAAGCAACGATTTTCGATTGAACCGACCGGTCCGGTCCGATTTTCAAAACAGAGTGAAAGAGCTTCAAATGTATACTACTTCCTAAAATGATTTGTCTCATAATAAGTTGTGAAAATAAATTATAGTTTCTGAAAGAAGAAAAAAATGAATCGATATATTTTAAACTTTTGAGCTGATTAAAAAATAAATATTTGAAAAATACATTTTATTAACTTTAAGTGCTTAAATTTTGTTTAATTAATATAAATGTCCAACGTTTAAGGTGTTTAAATTATTTTAATAATTTTGTGAATTTAAGCGTTTTTTTAATTTAGATATTTAAAAATGATTTTTTTTCTTTTCTAAAATTTAATTAATTTGAGTTTGTGGATTGTATGTAAAGATAAAAGAGTAATTGATTAATGGAGTATGATAGTGTAAGGGATAGACAATAGTGATCAATTTAACGACAACAAATGAATTTTGAGATTAGAGATTTGTGAATTCGATGTTATGGATCTATACATTTTAAAGATTTTAAGAATTTTTAAAAATTAAATTTTTTTAGTTTGTGTCTAAAAAACAAAATAAATTAAAAGTTGTGACCATATTTCATACGTTCGTTAGATGATAATATTTTTTATGAACATTAATGATTTGATTTAAAATTATAATAGGATAAAATACTAGATGCATAATAAAAAGTTGAACACATAAAAAACATAGTTTGACCAACAATCAGTTGGTCTAGTGAGATGAAGTATTAGAACACTTAAGTAAAGTCAGAGATTCGAATCCTGACAATTACGAAACTGAATTGGAAAGGTCGTCCTTACCTCTGCAGGACCCAATCCGGATTAATCGATGATTATACAAAAAAAAAAAACATTGTTTGAACCAATGATTTAAATAGTTGTATTGTTATCAAGAGATTCATGACTAATTATTATTATTAATAATTGTGGATAAATAGTAAATTATTAGATATAATTATAAAGTATTAAAATATTTAATCAACCAATGAAAACCATTTGCTTATCCAAGAGTACTGAGACTTCCTTCTTCTTTTCTTCTTTTTACTTTCATACGATCTGTTGTTCCACGTGAATCTATTTTTAATATTTAATTATACTATATTTTTTTATTAAGAACAACGAAGTATTCATTGGTAAAGAATTCAACATAAACACAGTACATGCGAGACAATTGTAGCTAAACACTATCAACAAGTGAGAACATGGACCCACTCCAAGGAAAAACAACACAAACAATAAATCAGAAAATCACCATAATAAAATAAGTACACTATATCACAAGACTATATCTCAAGTCCACTATATCACACACACACGCGAATCTACTAGTCTTTAGCGGCGTTTGTCTAAAAACGATATTAAAGTACTAGGTTTTAGCGGCATTTGTCAAAAAATGCAACTAAAGTACTAAGTTTTAGCGGTATTTGTCTAAAAACGCCATGATATATGTGCCCTATTACGACGTTTGTTTAAAAATACCACTAAAGTACGAGTTTTAGCAGCGTTTGTTGAAAAACGACGCTATTGTTACCATTTAATGGCGTTTTGGATATAAACGCCGCGATATGTATAAATTTAGTGGTGTTTTCTTTGAAAACGCCGTGACAAACACCGCTATATACTTGTTTTGTTGTAGTGCACCCTTTTTAAATAAAATCGAGTGAATTAAATCACCTTTACTGAGTCAAGTATTTTATAAACAAATTCACTCTTTTAAAATTTTTGTAAGAAGCTGAAAGGATCGTAACCTAAATTTTAAATTCAAACATGTAAATTTTCATTATTTAGACAACGTATAATCGAGAGGTATCAATTTTGGGCGTTGTGGGAGTGCTAATCCTTCCCCATATATAATCGACTCCTGAATCCTGAAAAATGAATTTCTGGTGACAAACAGACCAATTTTTGTCTTTAAAATGATTTTCCTTAAAATTGTTTTAAAAGACATTTCTTCTTTCTATGTTGTTTGGATTATTCTTTTCCTTTGAAGTATTAGTATCCAACATTTTGTGTCGGACATATAGATATGTGGATATGACCTCCAAATAACTTTAAAAAGTTTTATAATACTTTTATTCAACACCCATGCTTAAATTCAAGTAACATTCCCCTTTTATTGTTTTGCTAGTTTAACTAAGCACTCCCCCTTGAAATTTAACTTTTGTTTTGGATAAATTTAGGTTGGCATAACTTTGGCACGGATGTTATCATTGGATGGAACATGGTATTCCTTTGCCTAGTCTCTCTCAAAAAATGTTCCATACATAATATCCACTATTCTCTGGGTATATTGTTTATTGGCATCTTATCTTATTCTTTATTTTAGTCGTATTTTGTAACTATATGTTGCTCCAACTTTTCATTCTTTTCTTGAAGTGTTTACTTCTAACATTTGTGCCTGTCATAAGGGTGCTAGCATATGACTTTTAAGAATCTTCTGTCTAATAATATAACTTTTAGACATGTATTCCTATATGATGCTCACACCCGAATTCAAGTAACGTAAAATATGATTATTAACTTAGATAAGAATACATTCTTTGAATGGTGATTATGAATATGGGAAATGTAACTTTCTTATGTTACAAGTTACAACCATGCGCTTCAACTTATTACAACAAGCACAGGACATAGATTTTGAGGCTAACACCATGAACGCTGAAGATATTAACTAATATGGTATCCCATAGCATAGAGCTTTTCATGTTGTTTAGTTATGTTGTTCAACATCTATGAAGTATTTTTCTTGGTTTTATATTAAACTTACACTCCACCAATAACCAATTAGTTTTGCATTGTATGCTTAACACGAGTTAATCCACCTTTATGTTAAAGTCAATTTTAATGGCTTGTTAAAAATCAACATTTCGGTGCAGCAATTGTCACCGAATTATTTAGTCAAAGGGGGCACCAAAAAGGTGCAGCAATTGTTGAGTTTGGACAATGGTAGAATCACAATTTAGTCATTGCACTCTAGGGTATTTTCAAAGATTAGTTCTTAAACTTCAACTATAAATACCCTAACTCATTTAGCTTCAAAAGCATCCCCAAATCATTCTAGCTCTCTCTCAAGTATTTTTGTAAACACCTGTAATTTTTCTCCCTTTAGTAAAAGATCTGCATCAGTCCGAAGACGTAGGGATAATTGGTTGAACTCCGTTATTAATTTCGGGTATTATTTTTTCGCTTTTATTTCATATTCTCATTAATTTGGTTATAGGGAAATTACTCGGTTAATTCCCAACAACTGGTATCATGAGCTTTTGGTTGTGAATTTTGTTAATTTTTCTGCGAGGTTTATATTCAAGTGAATAGTGAATTTCATGAATAGTGAAATTTGGTCGGCGATACGAGTTTGTTGACGGAGATGTTCTAATACATGATGGTTCGCAAAAATTGTCAGAAACGATCCAAATAAAGGTAAAATCGAGTGGAAGCGATGGCTGCAGACGAATGGAATGTGAAAATTGAGAAGTTGGATGGTGCGCTCAAGACCTTCTTAGAAGGACTTAGACCAGGGGAAATGCTCGGGAGAGAGCAAGGTGATGCCCAGAGACTTTCGGATGCCAGCTGTAGCCGGAAAGCTGACTGAGATTGCAGGTGTCAAGCCAAGTAGCGATGTGTCATCTAGGCCCATGCCTGGTGATAGTGGCAATAATGGGGGTGACCGGGAAAAGGTGTAGCGGGGAGATGGTAGAGGGGGCTCTTTGAATGGCCAATGTGAGCCATCGACTGTTAATAGCCAAGGAAAGCCATCGGGAAAGAATGACAAGGCTAAGTCCGGTGCGAAGAAGAAGGTGAGCAAAGAAAAGTTAAAGTGATATTTCTGTGATGGTCCTCAATTGATTAGAAGATGTCTCGAGAAGCGTCGCCTTGCAACCATCATGAAGAGGATGGAAGAAGAAGAAGGAGCGAGAATTGGCATGGTTGAAAGTGTTAAAGATGCCAAGCCAGGGAAAAGACTTGGTTCGATTAAGGGGGTCAATGCGGCCAAGCAAGGATCGAGACGAGGCAAGGTTATTGATGTTGAGGCAGCCGAACCTAGAAGAAAGCCCGATACAATTGCGAGTGTTCAAATAATCAAGGCAGGGGCAAGACTTGATGAGGCTACATGTTTCAAAGTAGCCAAATCAAGAGGCAAGGATGGTGCGACTACAAGTTCACAAGTAGTAAATCAAGGAGCGAGGCGTGGCGAGACTACAGGTGTCAAAGCAGTCGAGCACAAGAAATGATCCAGTGTGATAGCAAGAGATAAAGCCGTCAAGCCGAGGGTGCAAAGTGAGCAAGTCCGCTCACAATATGCCAGGATGGAGGCGTGGTCCAAGTTGAGGCGTTTCAGGCATAAAGGGATACTTAAGGAGTATATGAGCCGATTCATAAGACTCATGCTCAAAGTCCCAAGTTTGACTGAAGAAGATAGATTATTCACCTTCATGTTCGGATTGAAGCCATGGGCGAAGAAAGTGTTGGAGCGAAGGGAAGTCAAGGAGTTTTCTAAAGCTTTGACAACCGCCGAGTCAATCAAAGAATTTGGAGTCAAGAAAAACAAGACTTCCAAAATAAAGCCGAAAGTCGAGGGTAGTGGCAAGTGAATCCATGATGAAGGTAAGTCAAAGGATGAGGAATGTTGTTCCTCGAGTGGCAGAGAAAGTCCACTCAATGATGAACCAGATGGTGAGTCTGGAGAAGAGGTGTGCAGTCTTGACACAAGTTCAAGTGTCAAAGATGCTAAGGCAAGGGTAAGAGTCGAGCAAACGAGGGGGTGCAAACTTAAGATGCCAGAAGTGTTGTGAGACTACCCGAGGGGATTCGAGTCATCCAAGGTGATGAATGAGCCCAAGATCGAGTTGTCCAGAGAAGAGGACGAACCCAGGATCGAAGAGACGTTGAGAGTTGGCTCAATAAGGTTCATTTCTGCCAAGGCGAGTAGAAGCCAAGTGCAAGAAAAGTTATCCGTGTCCAAGGAGTTTGCCGAGCATGTTTGTGTAGATAACATGGCTTCAAAGACCATCTTAAGAGAAGGGTCAAAGCAGGGGCTTGACGAGGATGTTCAAGTGAGGAACAATCTTTCAAAGACTAGTGGACAAGAGTCGAAGGGAGCCAAGACGTAGAGGGACAAGGCAACCACGGAGATTTACAAGGTGGAAAGTGAGCTCCAACCTTCGTGTTAGAAGGGAGGAGGCAAGAGGAGGCAAGAAGAGGCATCGAACTTTGCCGTGAGAAAGTGTCAATGCATGATGGCGTAAAGAACTCCAATGACAAGGGTTCAATGCGAGGAGTGTCAGACTTCAGGGAGTAAGAAGGGCTGACGCAAATTTTGAGTAAATGCCAATGAAATCAGAGAGGAAGGTATATCTCAACACTACTCTAGTGTTCTTTTGAGTTTGATTTGTTGTTTTAAGTGAGTATAGGTCGATCAAGACCTAACTTTTAACGCGGAGGAAACAAAGTTTGGAGGGGATCTAAGACTTTGCCGCAGACTTCAGGGAGTAAGAAGGGCTGACGCAAATTTTGAGTAAATGCCAATGAAATCAGAGAGGAAGGTATATCTCAACACTACTCTAGTGTTCTTTTGAGTTTGATTTGTTGTTTTAAGTGAGTATAGGTCGAGCAAGACCTAACTTTTAACGCGGAGGAAACAAAGTTTGGAGGGGATCTAAGACTTTGCCGCAGGACCAGGAGGGTCCAAACCGAGGCAAATCAAGACTTGTAGGAAAGAGAGTTCCTACGGTAGAGATGCACTTGTGGGCGTGTTAGCCCATTTCATCACTTGAAGGCAAGAGCTGAAGCAAGAACAGCTGTTATGGGAGGCCGAGTCCTTATGGGGGGACATGAGCAAGCGGTGGCGTCGAAAGGCAACCATGTTGATGCAAAGTATGGCGCGAAAGATCGTGAAGTTACATGCGGCAAAAGCCAAGGCAAACAGTTCGTATGGGAAGACCAGAGTGCTATGATAAAGCAATGCAGGTGGAGGATTCAGTAAAGTGGGAGTCTTTCATGAAAGATGAGATGAACTTGCTTATGTCAAATCAGACGTGAGAATTAGCTGAATTATCACCAGGCAAGAAAGGTTCCATAACAAGTGGGTTTACAAGACGGTGACTACGGACAAACTGAAGTTGTGTTCAACTTCAGTTGACATGCTAGAGTAACAAGACCAGAAATGTTATTGCATTGATCAAGGTGTGAAGACATATTAAAATCAGTCTTCAAGTGAGAGATTGTTAAAGTCAATTTTAATGGCTTGTTGAAAATCAACATTTCGGTGCAGCAATTGGCACCGAATTATTTAGTCAAAGGGGGGCACCAAAAAGGTGCAACAACTGTTGAATTTGGACAATGGTAGAATCACAATTTAGTCATTGCACTTTAGGGTATTTTCAAAGATTAGTTCTTAAGCTTCAACTATAAATACCCTAACCCATTTAGCTTCAAAAGCATCCCCAAATCATTCTAGCTCTCTCTCAAGTGTTTTTGTAAACACCTGTAAATTTTCTCCCTTTAGTAAAAGATCTGCAACAGTCCGGAGACGTAGGCATAATTGGCTGAACTCCGTTATCAATTTCGGATATTATTTTTCTGCTTTTATTTCACATTCTCACTAATCTGGTTATAGGGAAATTACTAGGTTAATTCCCAACACTTTAACCGCTAATTTTACCAATTCTAACCGTGGTAATGGCTTGTTCTTTATTCCTTTCTTTGTAGCTTATGATTCCTAAATGTTTTTGTTCTTCGTTACTAATTCGTGACTTGAAAATTTAGGGGAGTTTGCATCAATGATATGATACCATTTTACCTTGGAAAGCTGTTTAGACAAAGTGGAGCATCTGATATGTTTGTTCCAAGGTTTGTTTATTTCTATGCAGACATGGTAGTGCGTATTAAGATATTTGGGGATATTCAATTCATTTGTACTAGTCCAAATATCATAATTACTATTGGCAGCAGATGCACACACTAATGTTTTAGATATTCATTATCCGATTTCGTTCATTTTTGCTGATAATTAGTTTTACAAACTCATTTTACTTTTAGAAATAATAGATTTAGATATCTAAATTCGAGTCCATTGTCTGTTATACTTTAATTCTTTATGTAAATAAATATTTAGTGAATTTGTATATCTGACCAAGAACCCATTGAGTGTCTTAGTGGTAAAGGAAAGTGTTGTTCTTCCTAGAGGTTCAGGTACGAGCAGTTGCGTCTACAGGTGTGTGTTGTCAATAGGTTAAGAAAATATCTAAATAGATATTACCTTATAATCATCTCATACTATTAAGAAATAAGTATATATGACCAATGATGTTACTTATTTTGGATATAATATTCAAATTTAATATGAATAATAAACAAATTCGACTTTCAAAACAATAATTTACAAAAAATGAATATATCCAATACGTTTCATTCTTAATATTTATGCATAAATGGATCGATTTATAGCTTGTTCATGATTTGGTTGATTCCATTATGATAATCCTTCAGTTCTTTTCTTAATGTTTATGATGAGTCCAGTTAGGGATAGGTGAAGAGAAGGTTTTGCAAATAAGGCGTGCTGTTTAAAAGTATGGCAATCTCATAGGCTTCAGTGATTTACAACGACCTGAGTTTTTTTTTCATGACCAACTGGAAAATGTTATTTGATACATGTATTCATGTTGAATGTATACGCATATCCAACATTTACACTCGAGTCTAATCAATATAAACACACACATATTTATATATATTAATTTAATATAGCTTATAGCTTCTGTTGAATGTGTACGCATATCCAACATTTACACTCGAGTCTAATCAATACTTATTTTTACTTCAATCCTAAAAAATAAAATTCTATTTTTATATTAATTTAATATTTACATCTGTTTATAATTAAATATAAATAAAAAATAGTTTTTACCTCTAATGCAGGGAATATCTCCTGAGTTCTTCTTTGCTGGAGTGTGCTGTGGTGGCTTGGTCACTCTTCCCATTCAGGTTAGTCATTTTGTATTGGCAATATTACATAAAACTATGTTTCCTGTGTATATAGTCGTCGTACGTATATTTATGCTGCTCTGATTCTTCATTTCATTTTAGCACCCCACCATTAAAAATTTAACACATTTTATACTTAAACTATCATTTATAGTCCGTTTTAATATCTAAACTTCAAAAAAAAAATTCAAAATCATATCTAAAGTTTAGTTTTATTACCTAAACTATCAGTCGTCATACATATCTATGAACTAGAATTATCAGTAGAAACATACAATCCAAGGTAACCTACAGATACTGCAAATTTGAATAGCCTATACCAATCTAATTTGAGACAGCTTATGCCAGTGTTTTCTCTGTATACAGTAAAACTATGGGTGCAATGGACCGCACCGTATATTTCAATATGTTACTCCAACCATCAATACAAGATATGATTCGGGTTTCTCAACCTTGCTCGGGTTTTATCGGTTCGGCTTACAATCCGGTTTTTTATTCTTTGTTAATAGAGGATAGAAGCTGCATACTACTAATGTCCGACGGTGTTGTTCCAACATTTTGTTTTTCAAATTTCCATGACAAAAAATGTACATATAATATTTGAATTTAAGTATAAATGTAAGATATATATCTATATAATTTTTTAATATAATGTTTAAACTTTTCATAACCTCTCAAAGTTCAAGTATGAATGAATTATGTACTTAAAAATATTTAAATCTAAAATTTGAAAGATGTCTTTGGGTATTTTTTGGAACTTGGCACATTATTGAAGATGTTTTCAATAATCATCACATGGCCGATTATTGATCCATTGACAAAATAATACACATTTTTCTGATGAAAGTACAAGGTAGGTCCCTCTATTATAGGGACCATACAAAATTTGGTGAATGTGGTAGCTAGAACGTCGTGTAAATTTTTTATACTATAATTTTAGATCGGTTCAACAAATTGCCGATATGTCCGAGTGGTTGAGGAGACAGACTTAATATTAGTTGGGCTATGCCCGTGCAGTTTTGATCCCTGCTGTCCACGCTTTGTTTTTATTTGCAGATATTAGTGATGCACGAGTAAATATTAACTAAGTTTTTATTTTATATCAGGTCAGATTTACACTCTTATTTTCAGGTCAAGGTTAGATCAAATGAACCAAAGATTCATCTCTATATACACTATTTCCTAAAGCTTTAAGAGAAAACAAAAAAAGCAGCCATGGATCGAATTATCATGTAAACATGCAATTGCAAACAAGAAAAATATGAAGTTAACCAACACAAACTTAAGCCATACTTTAATCCCTATGTTAAATCATGCTTCCCGCACAGTAAATCGATTGAAGTACACCCAATTCCAAAGAGCTGAATGATAACATAAATTTCATCCTAATTGCATCTTAATGAGGGATAATCAAATTATTCGGACTCAATCTAATCTTATAAAACATATTTTTTTTTAAAAAAAAAAAATTGAATTTGGATCAAGTGGAATCAATTTTGTGAAAAATTATTATAATTCTCCTTTACATACTCAGGATTAATTATTATAAAATAATTAGTGTAGATTATAAAATTTAATATACATTTTATAATAATTATATAAATGTGATGATCATTTTATAACTTTTAAAAGTTGTTGATTAAAAATATTATTTTAATATAGTTCAGATACTATATATGTAGATTACCCAATCTAAAAATACACAGATAATTAAAAAAAAAAAAAAAAAAAAACTTCTCATCTAAGCGAAAAAGACATAGGAAGGTCTCCTTGCTTTATCTTCTTTTTCATTTTTGTTTCCCTCTCCAAATCAAAAACGCCCGATCTTTCCTCTCTTTTTCCTTAGATTCCATCGCATAGGGGGAAGGATTGTTCTTCGATGGGGCAACAATCGTTGATCTACGCCTTTGTTGCTCGTGGCACGGCGGTGTTAGCCGACTACACGGAGTTCACCGGCAACTTCACCGGTATAGCTTCTCAGTGTCTTCAGAAACTTCCTGCTTCAAACAACAAGTTCACTTACAACTGCGATGGCCATACCTTCAACTATCTTGTCGATAACGGCTTCAGTAATCTCCTCTCTCTCCCCCCCTCTCTCATTTTTTTAATCTTTTTTTTAATTTTCCAGTTTAGTTTATCGATTTCTCTGTGATCTGCCTTTTCTCGCTGTTTCTTTGGTCCAAAGAAGCAGTTTGTTTCTATGTTTGTTTTTATTGATAGAATCAGTTGGATTCTTTCTATTTTAGGAAAATAGATGATTTAACTTGTAGTGTTTGGAACTTTAGTAATTTGAGTTTATCTAAAATATTGACTGCTTGTCGATTGTAATGAATTAAATCGGCGTTGAAATATTGTGACGGTTACTTCTTTCTTAGCCACATTTTGAAGCAAATAGCAGTTGGTCTCATTTCGATACAAGAGCAAATTCTAGCATTTTTGGATAACTGAAAACTAAAAGCTTCACTTTTTGCGTGCATCTGGTGGTAACAGAGCATGATTCAAAAGTTTTGGCTCTTTTTTTTTTCTTCCATTTCAATCAAGTGTATGGATGGCTGATTGTGTGCTTCCCAAGTTTTAGTTTGAAGGTATTGTCTTCTTATACTTTATATGTGTGTGTGCGTGGATGGGAGAATTTTTAAGTTGTTATGTAGCTTGATTACTTCTGTACTTTAGCAAATATTAACGTCCTACAACACGATATGGACATGCCAATAGGTGAATTTATGAAAAAAATATAACATGTAAAGGTGAGTATTTGGTTGAGTAAAAAAAAATTGAGTTAGTCGAGTTGAAGTCTTACTGTATAACTCAATCTTTATTTGAAACTTTTTCGAGTTGAGTCGAGTTTATGAAATTTGAGTCGTCGAATTAAGTTGTTTGAGTTTCTGTTAAGATTAAATTATAAATATTTATAATGTTATTGTAATAATTGATTCCAATTTAAACGGTTTTCTATAACCATATATGATATACATATATATTTCTATATAATTTTTTCAATAACGAATCACTTAAAAATTTTGAGTTATTCAAGTCCTATTTTATAACCCAACTTTATTTGAAATATTTCAAGTCGAGTTTAGTTTATGAAGTTACGAATCGAGTTGAAAAATTATATTTTTTCAAATTGAGTTTTATTCATCCCCTAGGAACATGGGTACGACACAAGAAGACAATATGAAATATTTTTATATAATAATATAAAATTGATTCTTTTTAATTAAAGATGAGCATGAGAATAGTATTCCAATTATTATTTTCATTATTTATTTATTTATTTTAAAACTTGAATCTTCAAAAATCCCACTGGAATCAAATTGCTTATATTTGGTTCCATATTTGAAAGAAAAATGCAAAAAAAAAAATGTGTTCTAGTGTGTCACTTCCCGGATGTTCCATGATATGTTTTGACCATGTCCGATTTACTTTTACTTTTTTAATGTGTCATTATGTGTCCTATACGTAATTTTCTGTGTCAAACAATTATGTGATACTTGGACACTCGTCTAACAGAAGTGTCGGTTCCTCATTGCTTGTAGAAGAAGAATGGGAGGTTTGGTCCCTTAACTTTTTTAATCATACATTGAAAGACTGAAAGCCTAGGTATTCATTTCAATGGGTACTTTTGGTTCTTACATGATGTTTTCCAGTCATTTCACAACTTGTTTGTTCTGTTGCATCCTTTATCATAAATATAAGGTTACTTCTATACTTGTTTGAATTAACCTCCTACATCTATGCAGTCTATTGTGTGGTTGCTACTGAATCCGTTGGCCGACAGGTTCCTATGGCATTTCTCGAGAGAATTAAAGAGGACTTTACCAAGAGATATGGTGGAGGAAAAGCTGCAGCTGCTCCTGCCAACAGCTTGAGCAAGGAGTTTGGGTATTCTCTTTTCCTTGAACTTAAAGAGTTGTGTTATTCATTATTGACTTGAGTTGGAGTGTCAGATTAGTATGTGTCTGTTATTAGTATGTTCGATTCTTTTCCTTGGAGGATCCTTTGTCTTCTTGGAGGGTTATATTCTTGTACCCAGGGTTGGACCTAGGCGAGATGGTTGCCCCCTAAAATTCTAAAATTAACATATATTTTAAATTTTTTCTATGTATTTTCTATTGAAAATCTGTTTTCGCCCCCTAAAATTTTATAAGTTCAAGTTCGTCCCCCCTAGAATTTTATAAGTTCTAGTTCACCCCCTTAATATAAAATCCCGCGTCCGTCCCTACTTGTACCCATGTCCGTATATACGTTGGACACAGGTATTGCTAGAAAATGTCTTTTCTGTTATCAAGTGCGTTGATAGCTATGTTTTTATTATATCGTTAATGCTCTAGGCCAAAATTGAAAGAGCATATGCAGTATTGCATTGAGCATCCTGAGGAGATCAGTAAGATTGCCAAGGTGAAAGCTCAAGTTTCAGAAGTCAAAGGAGTTATGATGGAAAATATCGAGAAGGTAATTTTTGACTTACTGTCATCTTTCATAGTTGTCTTGTGTGCATGATAAGATGGACTATTGCCTGAGGGTTCTTAGTGTGAAGAGTCCGTCTTTACAAATAAACGGACATTGATAATAAAATGTTTGGTGATCCTTTTTTGTGTTTTCCTCTTTAACGATTCTTTTGCAGGTTCTGGACCGTGGTGAGAAAATTGAGCTTCTGGTGGATAAAACAGAAAATCTCCGTTCCCAGGTCAGCAAATGGATATCATACTGTTCTACTTTAAACAATATTTGCGATGTTCTCAAAAACTGCACTTTTTTTTATTAGTCTAGGGTTATAAGGTAGCATGTGTTCAAAATCTTTTTTAGCAATTGACAACACACCGTACAGATGCATACAGCTGCTCGAACCCAATACCTCTAGGGAGAATAATAGTCCTTTTACCACTGAGGTCGCTTGATGGGTTCCTAAAACTGCACTTTGGATAGACCATAAATGAGGCATTATTTGGGTTTCTTAGGTGACTCACTGTTTAAACTGTCTAACCGCTTACAAATCAGCATATATTTTAAAATTTGGTTTAGAATAGCCACATCATTAGTTAACTCATTTGTTTTCTGAATCTTCACTGGGAATTAGATCATATGTAGGTTTGTTGGTTGGACTTGCCTGCAAGTTTAAAATACTTGTATGTTCAATTTTTTGAAAGTATATATAAGGGTCCATGAAGGGTTATATCCCACACTTATATCCGGAATTGTGTTGGGCATAGATAATTTAAGAAAAATGAAAAGGGTTTGTTATCTGACTACTTGGTATTATAGGGGTCCTTGAAAGGTTATATCCCACACTTATATCTGGAATTGTGTTGGGCATAGATGATTTAAGAAAAATGAAAAGTCGAAACAACATAATAGGTAGGGCAATAATTTGGGTTTGTTATCTGACTAGTTGGTATTATAGGGATCCTTGAAAAGTTATATCCCACACTTATATCCGGAATTGTGTTGGGCATAAACGAGTCAAGAAAAATGAAAAGTCGAAACAACATAATATGTAGGGCAATAATTTAGTTTTGTTATCTGAGTAATTGATAAAACATGAAAACAAAATTGTTAACGTTAGCATCATGAGGCAACTCCAAGACAAGAAAGTTAAGTTAAATGCAGGATCCTTGAACATATGTGGTTGAATTGTACATTTCTTTCATTTTAAAAGAGTTTATCAATACTAGTTCCCAAATATTCAAGAGCTAGCTGAATAATTCAATTCGAGAACCCGGAAATTTCTCACATGATTCTCCTAAATGTGCTTCAAAATTATATGTTAGGGATAATAAGGGTATTTGATTTTTTTTTGGGCGTTGTAGGCACAAGATTTCCGGCAGCAGGGAACTCAGATGAGGAGAAAGATGTGGTTACAGAACATGAAGATAAAGCTGATTGTTCTCGGAATCCTGATTGCTTTGATTCTCATCATCGTACTGTCCGTTTGCCATGGCTTCAAATGTTGATTTAATTGCTCATCCACTCGACATTCCACTGTCGTCTCATAGCTCGGAATTGTTGCAGTAACAAGTAATGTATGATGCTCCTTCTAGCTAAAGATTTTTTGAACTACATTTGCTTTATATTATAGCCTATATCAGAAGACTGTGTGCATGTATAATATAAATTTGTATTTTAGTATTCTTTTGAGCAGTATGTTGATGTGTTGATATATATATGTATCTATTGGAAAATTTCGAAAAGAATACGAATGAAGCATTTTCAAGTTATTCTATGACTGAGCCATGTTATGCATCCTTTGGTGCTCATAAATTTTCATATAATTCTTGAATAGGTAGGTGTTCGTACACAAGTTAGAGCACGAGCTGAAACTCATTTTATTGTTTAGAATATCGTTGTATTTATCTCAACCAGATCAAATAGTATTCGAGTTAGAGAATAGATTGTCATTAGAGTTCCAAAGTTAAGTTGGCCAAAGCAAGTGTTTTAGCCACCCCTTGAGTGACCACTGCCCTTCCTTCCGCAGCCACGGCTATAGTCGCTGCCCCTTCTGTAACCACCACCTGTAGGAATAGAAGAGCCAAATAAGTATTGTTAAAGTGTTAGCGAATTTGAAATTCATTTGTTGTATGATATTCACGCTTGTTTCGTGTGAATTCAGCTTGATTATTGTTAAACTATGTTATGAGGACTTGAGAACGAGCTCTTGTAATGGATCTCCGTAATATCCGATCCAATCAATCGATTAGTGGGCAGAATACCTGTGGTTATAATAAAAAAAATATTCCCATGGTTTCATTCCCTGAGAAAAATCTAAATTTGATATTCAGATTTAGTTTCTTCTAAGTTTATATATATATACCAACATGTCAATAGTTTGAACTAATATAACATATAAATATTCTCAATAAATCCCAAATGTTAGATCATTGGAAAGAAGTCAAGAACCTAAAAATAGCGCAGTTATTAGCTAAAAGTTTCATTAAGTAATCTCACTTACAGACCGATACAACCTGTTGAGTATGGAATGATAGTTATTCTTAGAGGGTTTAGACTCGAGCACAATATATGTAGGGGGTTTGAACGTTTATTGTCAACCGATTATCAGTATTTCGAATAAATACTACTTTTAATTTGAATCTATCCCATTACGATTTTGACTATGAAAAGGTAACGATCCAAATTATCCCAATCGAACTCAAAATTAACTAATTCAACTTGATCCAGTTTAAAATTTAAAATGACTTGAATAAATGAATTGAAATGATGGATACTCCAATAAAATATAAATTTAAAAATATAATTGAATTTATAACTCATAAAAATCAAATAAAAAACTTCACATAATACATGAAGTAATGAAAAAAAAAATTAAGGGTACATTCATTTATTACTTCGTTTCTGTTTTGAAGAAAAAAATAATTTGAGGATCAAAACAAAAATAAAATAATAAATGAGACTAAATAGATAATTTATTTCTCATATTATCGAGCAGATATAGGTGTCGAGATGTTTCTCTGTCCGACGACGAAGAGTGCAAATAGTACACCCCAAACGGTGTAACTAGTCTCGAAAAAGTAAGTGTTTATCCTCCTTGAATCAGATGAAACACCAAGTTGTAGAGTCGCCACCAATCTTTTAATTTGGTGAGACTGGTCCCCAAAATATCATATTATTCTCATAAAATTCCTAAGAATAATATTAAAATAATACAACTCGGGTGTTCTTACCAGAAAAATGAGTTCGGGAGTCGGTTACGTATGGGGAAGGATTAGCACTACATAATGCCTAAAATTGGTACTGGAATTTATTAATTAAATATCTTTGCAGTAAATGATAAACTTGTATTTAAAGCTTAATATAAATAAAAAGTCTATTATTAATCCTATTATAAAATTATATTATAATCATATTAATTTAATAAATTATGTATGATAATAATCCTAATGTATAAATGCTAATTAAGTACATAATGTAATAATTATTAATAATTAATACATAAAATATTAATATTAATTAATCTTAATTTGAAATACTCCTAGAATTATATACTAATTATGTAATTTACCCTTAATTTACTAATACGGGATTAAAATAAAATTTATTAATATTTAAGGGACTAAATAGATATTTAACCTAAATATACATGTATGTGTGACAATGATCAAAATGAAAATTAATAAAACTTGAAGATTAAATTAAATTATACGAAAACATGCTTTCAGTGACTAAATTGAATGTTTACAAAATTACATGGACCTTGGGTACAATTTGCCCATACCCGTATTTACGCACAAGTCTCTCCCCAAAACGACGCTATTCGAGGAGGGATATAAATAGGCCTTTATTAAGCCTAATGAGGCCTTAAACCTCATTTTCCTCTCTTATTCTCTCTCTAACTAAGAGATATCTCTCGGTTCTCTCTAGCTTCCTCGCCTGAGGGAGATCAGCCGCCAGCTGGTGATCGTGCACCGCCGGCCACCACCCACGGTGGCCGAAAAACATATAATACCCCTAAAAAATTCCTTTTTTCCCCCTAAAGCCTAAACCAAACTTCGTTTACCCTAAACAACCTTCAATCAAAATAGATCTAAGGTTTATACCTTCGATGGTTCATCTTATCCGGCGGTGCGTGGTAAGGCTTCGCTTCTTTCACTCTTTTATTTTCTAATTTTTTTGTGTACTGGATGTTTGTTGTGTTTACCTTGGCTTGCTTGTTGTTCATTTGCAGGTTCACCCTATTTATAGGGGGTTTCGATGCTCCCTCTGGATCAGTTAAAAGACTGTATCCCGGTGAGTCACCGGAGCTATGGTGGTGACTCACCCTAGGGGTGGTGAGCTGTGCGGTGGAGAATGCACCTAGATCTTGCTTCGATCTAAGACGATATGATATCATTGTGGCATGCACCGGTTGGATAGTTCGACGACGGAGGCATCATCACTTCTATTGCGGCGCCGGAATAGCCCTAGGGTTTTACTGGTTGCACTGGTGACCGTAGATTTGCTTCCTGATCCAACGGTGGAAACAAGCTGGCGGCTGGAGAGACATGCGTGAAACCCTAATCACCATTGGATCTGATACTGGGCCTGTTGGACTGTTTGGGTTGAATCTGGTTATGCGTCGGGCTTGTTGGGCTTCTTGGATCGAATCTAGTTATAACATGGGTCCAGGGCTATGCTTGTAATTGGGCATTCGTGTTGTAATTATTTTTATTTGGGGCATGTAAAATTATAACTAATAATAATAATAATATAATTATAATATAATAATATTTATTATAATATTTATAACGTAAATATAAAATAAACGTCACTCGGACGAAAACTAATGTCGACAGCTGTCCCTCTTTGCTTATTTTTGTGTTAACAAGAATAAAGCAAAGATAAAAAGACAATAAGTTTTCTTCGAGTGGCCTTTTATTTGATAAAAATTTGTTCCATTACTCTTCCGTGGAGATCGAACTTTTGATATGATCTTGCTTTACTACTCTTTTTGTGAAGGCTGAAATGACTTGAAAAGAATATGTTTCTCTACTCTTCCGTGAAGATCAAATTCAAGATTGATTTGCTTCCACTAATCTTCCGTGGAGACCAAATCTGCAATATTGAAGAAACTTGTACCACTAATCTTCCGTGGATACTAGACTCATGCGTTCTTTGAATATCCCTCTTTTTAGGGATTTAAACTTTCGGCTCTCTTTTCAAAAAAAAACATGCAGGTGTAATATTGTTCGCTATCATGCATTTATGAATGTTATGATCCTATTTATGCCTAAAATGTGTACAATGACAAAATATCAGGGTATTTTCTTTTTCTTCGAACAAGGACACCTTTTAATTATCTCTTCTTAACTCAGTCTCATCATAGGTGCATAATCATTTCATCTCAACCGACCATTTTGATCCTTTTTGTCAAATCTAAACTTGTCTTTGTTCTTCTTAAATTCCACCAATACAAATGACAACCATTCAATTGATAACAAATATTTCAGATCGTCATCAAGTATCTGAAATCTCCTATACTTCAATATTTCATGTATCATGTCATCATATGTTAAAATCATTGTTAGCCTCAGAATATCAGTATTCTTCAAAGACTTTTTGTACAATAATATACCGTGATTTTATATACTTCAAATTAAACTACATATTTTAAATTTTCAAATCAAGATGCTTTGCAAAAAGAAAATATTTTTTATTTAAACAAAGAATTTACATGGCAAACTTTTATTTTGTAAAAGACAAAGTAGGCATCTTCAAACATCAATAGCATAAATACTTTTGAACTGACACACTGTAAAGTGATTTAAGTGTAGCTTCTGTCAAAAGGACCTCGAAATCATGATGAAGGTATGGAGTTTCTCAAATCCTTCTTCCCTTCATGCAAAATATTTTTTAACTGCATCTGAATTTACTGGGTAAGGCAATTCAGGTCCATCCATTTCAGTAAGGACTAAAGCTCCTCCAGAAAAACCTGTTTTACAACATAAGGTCCTTCTCAATTTGGCATCCACTTTCCTCGGTGATCCTTTTGAAAAGGTAAAATCCTTATGAGCACAAGATCTCCTTCGTAAAATTCTCGGAGGCGAACTTTCTTATCATGTGCTCGTATCATCCTCTTTTGGTACATGTGACCATGACAAATTGCTTTCATTCTTTTTTCTTCGATCAAATTTAACTGGTCATATCTGGCTTGTGCCCAGTCTACTTCATCTAGATTTACTTCTGATAGAACCTATAATGAGGGAATTTCTACCTCAATTGGTAAGACTGCTTCAATCCCATAGGTTAATGAAAAAGGAGTTGCCCCAGTTGAAGTTCGTACCGAAGTTCGATAGGATAACAGAGTAAATGGTAGTTTCTCGTGCCAATCCTTATAAGTTTCAGTTATCTTCTCTATAAGCCTCTTGATACTCTTATTAGCTGCCTCAACCGCTCCATTCATCTTTGGGCGATAGGTGGTGGAATTATGATGCTTTATCTGGAATTGTTCACAGACTAATTTCATCATTTTGTTGTTCAGATTCAAATCATTATCAATAATAATTCTCTCTGGCATACCATATTGACAAATGATCTCTTTTTTCAAGATTTTACAGACTGTGGACTGAGTAATGTTCGCATAAGAAGCTGCTTCTACCCATTTGGTAAAATAATCTATTGCTACCAAAATGAAGCGATGACCATTTGAAGCTTTGGGAAAAATTTGTCCAATAACATCTATGTCCCACATAG